GACACACTAACCAATACTGCTGGCTGAAAATGTGCCCGAGTGCCCCTATATATACAGTCTATAGAAATCCTGGTGCTTGTTTTGCTTCGGGGAATGTTCTATCTTCCAGGGAGACTTTTCCCCGGGTTCCTTAAGTCAATCCAAGTAATGTAGACTCTTGAGGACCATACACCACCCGAATTGAACATCCTCTTCAACGGGGAGGTTTATGGTCCTCAAGAGTCTACATGAATAGGTTTCGCTCCGTCTGGTCTGATCGCTGATCCAGCATGGGCTATCCAGTCTGTACCTCTTCTCGTTCGCTGAGGAGACGCCTCCCAGCAAACCGTCGGGAACTCAGGTGAACTCAGGTGAGGTGGTTTAACATGGCATGACATGACAGGGATTGACATGGTTGTTGTGGGAGTTGTCATGACACCTGTGATTGCAGATGGTGTGGGCTCGCCCCATTCCCACATCTTGTTTTGGACTGGATCACTGTTCGGAGTGGGTCCCAATCATCCTGACACGGTGACCCCCGCCTTGGAAAGACTCAAAGACCCCGGTGTGGGTGCCAAAGTTTCGATCCTTCATGGTGCCATGCAGGTTCCACACTCCGTGTTCACCAAAGGTCGAGCATCGAAAACGACCCTCATCTCGGCGAGACTCAGTTTTAGAAGAGCCAACGTTTCCACTCCGAGCTGCTTGATGCTGCATGACATCCATGACACTCGGAAACCTGGTTCCCGCAGCTGTTGCAGCACTTGTGAGAAGCTTATCGCACACCCATTAGGAGTGTTGGAAAACCTTCCGAGCATGCGCTGGCTTCTTTGCACCTTGGCTTCTTTCGCCACCCCGCCCGGACATGTGGCCATGTGGGAGAAAGCTACCTCACGCTCGCCAGACCCACAGGGAAGCTCAACGCTGATTGGTCACGCGCTTTTGCATGGATAAACCAACTCATAGGCCCTTAGGCCCTTAGGCCCAAGCCTTGTAGCACTGATCCCTCCACAACCCCCCGCAAGCTTGCGACCAGTGGCAAATGTAAATTGGTGCATCGCTGCGACCTAACGGGGTTAAGGGAATATAACACACATATCAACAAATGATATGGCCCATACATAACGTTATTAACACACACACACACACACGCATATATATATATATATTATATTAAACATTAAAACATATGGGTTTTGATGGGTTTTGAATGATATATCATAAGGTTTTACATCTTAAAGCCGTTGAACCACCACCACGGCCCGGACTAGTTGGGCCGTGGTGCGAAAGGACCAGTCTCCCGTGCACTTCCCGGAGTAATGGAGGTGGATGGCGACCCTTGGATACCATGTTCCTCTACAAACAGGGGTTGTCCAGTGTACTGCGGGTGCGCCAACCAGCCAAGCACGACTTTTAGACGCCCATGAGGTGAGGCCAAGGATCCACCCAAAAGGTGAGGCCAACTCCTACCCCTCGTTCTTCTGCCTTCGAAGGGGCCGATTCTCGAGCTCATGGGTTGAGATGGGTGACTTGTAGCCAACGGGCTCTTAATCATGCTTGACTAGCCCATTCTTGAGTCCAGTCCTCATTCTTAAAGTCGATCATGTTCTTCCAATTCGACTCTAAAAGGATCTAAAAGGTAACAGGCATTTCCCCGGCCTCTTTCGTCGTTGAACACTCCCAGGCACTGGCCTTACAGCTCTTTCCGCCCTTGCGGCGGACGAGTGTGAAACAGGACTGGGCCTGCTGTCAGCTTCCATCGATTACCAATAATGAAGCTACAAAGCAGTTTTGGGGCTCTTAGTGTAACTGTGGGAACTTGAGGAGCTTAGGAATGTCAAGCCTCTATTGCTTATGACGCACGGATGTGCACCGAAAGTTTACGCTTGAACACATGGAACGACTTCTGGTAGATGTCCAACTATTAGTGTTGTTTAGGTTTTTGTAGCGGGAAATGCGAGGAAGCCTGGGATATCCTCAGATTAGTGTCTCAGTGTTCCCTGTTCATGCTCTTTCTGAGTCCGGGCTCTTATGCAGGAGACTGTGATGTGACCGGGCTCTTGCAGAAGAAGGCGGAGGACACCTTAGAGACATCGGATGAATGCCGTGGTTTCGATGTTTGTCCGTCATGGCCAATGCCATACAAGCATGGCGACTGGGTGTAGATTTATCGGGGTGGTCCTCAAGCGTTCATTCATTACATTTCATTACCCACTCATTGCAAGTCGTAGATGTGCCTGAATTATGAAGACCCTTGGCACAATCAATCGTGCGTAAAGTTCAGTTTTTTCCTCTCTATATATATATATATGTACTGTGTAAAGTTCACGCTGTGCACTTGTGTTTCGGCAGTTCGAACTGTTTTTGACCTTCACTTACCGTCGTTCCCTCTCAAGACTGGGAGGGCAGTTGCCTTGCAAAAGGCGCGGCCGCGGCGCTTCAGTGCGCCCTCTTGTTTTCGTGTTTGCGGACTTCGGGTGCCGCTGCTACCCTTTTTCGCATTGGTAGCGGAGCCTCCTCCGGGGGGCTCCGAGTCCTTTGCGCGAAGAAGAACGAGGTTCTGCATAAGTCCTTTGTCACGAACCCTTGGGAGAGCTCTTTGGTTTCCTCGTTGAAGAGCCCTTTCGGTCTTGGCTACTTGTTTGAGAATGCCACCAACGACATCGGCTGCAGAAGGTTCCAAGGATGGTGACTACCTCAACCTGCGCGACTCCTTCGTTCCACTGTTCAGTGGACAACCCCAGGACTACAAAGAGTACAGAAAGAGGCTGATGCTCTACCACCACAAGATGAAGATCAGCAAGCGTTCAGCCGAGTCCGTCCTGAACATCCTGGGAAGTTTTCAGGGTGTGACGTGGCGGTTGTTCGAGGACTTCTCAGTTGAAGAGGCTGAGAAAGAGGATGGCTTCAGCAAGATCATCACCAAGCTCGACAAGAACTTCGAGTATGACGATCGTGTGCTCCTTCCGAATGACTTTGAGGAGTACTTCAACTTGTTGCAAAGGAAGCCACAGCAAAGCCTCCTGTCCTTCGTCACCGACCATGACACCGCCTATCGTCGTTTGACTGCCCACAATGTTACTCTTCCAGTCCAGGTTCAAGGATGGCATCTACTCCGACGTGCTGCTTTGTCAAAGGAGCAACGCCAAATGGTGACGCTGAAGGCTCCTACGTTGGAAAAGAATCCTGTCATCGAAGCCCTGTACCTGCTGTTCGGTCAGGACTACAAAGCAGGCGGCTGGAATGCTGAACGTGATCGAAAGTTCAACCGCTGGAAGGGCCGCGGCTACGCCGCATTCGATGAAGAAGATGCCTACTGGTCCGAGCAACCCTGGACAGAAGACGCCTACTATGAGGCCGACGAATGGTATGATGACACTGCCCCTGACGATGAGGCTGACTTTGACTATGACGCCATCTACTACGGCGAAGAGGATGAACCTGGAGAACACCATGACCTGTCCGAAGATCCTCAAGAGTTGGCCGAAGAGTATGACCACGCCTATGCCACCTACTTGGATGCCCGGCAAAGATTCCAGCAGCTCAAGTTGGCTCGTGGCTACCTGCCGATCGTCGCCCTCACTGATGGCCAGAACGCTTCGCCCGCCTCTGGATCCTCTTCACCTTCGAAGGGCGCCGGCAAGAACAAAGGAAAGGGCAAGAGCAAAAGCAAAGGAAAAGGAAAGAATGTGGTGCGCTATCTACCCTCCTCAGGTGGAAAGGCTGATCCAAAAGGTCGTGCAAAGGCAACTACATGCCTTCGTTGTGGCCAACCAGGTCATTGGGCAGCGCAATGTCCACAAGGTGCGAAATCACCCTCATCGTCCAACAAGAGACCTGCACCCACTGAGGGTATGGCCTTGCAGAATGAGACCGCCTTGGTCCTGTTCCAGGATGAGATGGGCACCGACCGACCGGATGCCACCATGCTTGACCCAGGTGCATCTGCCTTCCTGTGCGGATATGGTCCATTCGGCCGCTATTTGAGCCACTTGCACTCCATGAACTACCCCATCAACACCATCCGCTTTGCTCGATGTGACCGCCAGTTCCATTTTGGTGGCGATGCATCCTCACGAGCTTCATGGACAGTGGATCTCCCGGTGATGATCGATGGCCAGTTCGGCACGATCCAATGCTACCTGGTTCCTGGCAACACGCCAATGTTGATGGGCCGACCTGTGATTGAGGCTCTGCACATGGGCATCGACTTCAGCCAGAAGCGCATTCGCTTTGGGCAATCGCCTTGGACCTCAGTGCTTGTGGGCCGCCATGGCGAGTACTTGTTGAGCCTCACCACTGGCATGGAGGAAGTACCTGATCCCACGAAAACCCTATTCAGCCTTCGCATTGCTGAGGAAACACCTGGCAGCCATCTCCACTTCGAGGACTCTAACAAGCTCGAACATGTGTTTCAGGCTGAAGATGTGGCTCTAGCAGGTGGCGAATTGCAATCCACTCGCCTTCATCGACATGCCCTTCGAACCATGGAGACTCAGTTGGTCACTACCTCAAACTCCACCGAAGCCTATATCACTCAGGAGCTTCACAATCCTCCTGACCATCGACGAGTTCTCTGGGAAATCTATTGTGGCAAAGCTCGCACTGGCCACATCGCAGAGGAGCTTGGCATGAAGGTGGAAAGATTTTCTTTGGACAATGGCTGGGACTTCAACCTCATCAGCCATCAACCACAGCTACTCCAACGACTTGATGAAGAAGAACCTGATGAAGTGCTGGTGACACCAGAATGCCACCTGTGGTCAAGAATGCAAACCTTGGCTTGTCGCACCCCTGCACAGCAAGAAGCCTTGAAGGCTCGACGTGAGCACCACCATCGTCGCCATCTCTGCTTTGCCAAGCGCATCTACCTACGACAGGTGACCAATGCACGGCATGCCCACTTGGAGCAGCCCCGACATGCCTTGAGCTGGAACACGATGGCTCTCCGAGATCTTCCTGGTTACTATGCCGACTTCGACCAATGCCGCTATGGAGCAATGTGCATGGACACCGACGGCATCTGGCGACCTGTCCAAAAGAGCACTCGCCTGTTGACCACAAAGCAGGCTGTTTTAGAGGCCTTCCAGCTGAAGTGTGACCATGACCACTACCACTGCCCCTTGGAAGGTTCTGCTCCTGGCTATGGCCGCCGGACCACCTACTTGGAAGACTACCAACCTGGCTTTGCAGCGACACTGGCTGCTGCCTTGGCTCGTCCTGAGACCGCTCAACTGTGGGACACCGCCTATGTGGTCGATGAAACTGGCAAGAAAGAGACCGGACACCTCCTCAAGCTCAAGTCTGAACACCGACAAGATGCTCTTCGAACGGTGCAACGGCTACACCGAAACCTTGGCCATCCGGCACCTGATGCTCTGGCTGATCTGTTGACCGCCAGAGGAGCTCATCCCACTGTGATCGCCGCTGCCAAGGAGTACAAGTGTGTGGCATGTCTGAAGCACAAGAAGCCCAACCAGGTTGCTCCATCATCCATGCCACAGCCCAAGACCTTCAACGAAGTGATTCAGGCTGACGTTTTCTACCTCAAGCCAGCAGACCGCAAGTTTGCAGTGCTGAGCATAGTTGATGTTGGCACCAAGTTCATGGCAGCCTACCTGCTTCATGAGGAGACCTCCAAGTCCTACATCACCGCTCTGGAAAAGATGTGGGTTCGCCATTTTGGCCCTCCCAAGAAGCTGATCTCCGATGAAGGCCGACCTTGGCTTGGTGCACCGTTTGAATCTTGGACAAGCTCACTTGGCATTGACCATCAAGTAGCACCAGGAGAAGCTCATGAGCGCCTTTCGTTGGTTGAGCGCCGTCATGCAGTGCTGCGCCGTGCCTGTGAGGTCTACATGGATGACCGCAAGCTCAGCGACGCTGCTGGCATCAAGGAAGCACTTTGCTATGTGATCCCACAGCAGAACGCCACACCTGCAGTTGCTGGCTTCTCGCCCAGTCAATGGGTTCTTGGCTTCCAACCTGAGCTGTCCCACCTCATGGACTCCAACCTCAATGCAGCTCAACTTGCTGGCAACAACAGCTCATTTGAGGAGAACCTTGAGCGGCGAACTGCTGCAAAGATGGCACTGGCATCTGCTGATGCTGACTCCAAGCTGCGACGAGCTCTCAGTCGCAAGTACCAGGGCCAGAATCGAGTTTTCCAGTTGGGAGAAAGAGTATGGTTTTGGCGTGATGCTCGCCAAGGAGCCCTGAACAAGATCAGATGGCTTGGTCCTGCCCACGTGGTTCTTCGTGAAGAAGATGCTGAAGCTGATACTGCAGCTCCAAAGGTCAAGACCTACTGGCTCGCCTACAAAACACAGTTGATTCGTGCTGCGCCTCACCATGTCCGTGCAGACATCCTCGGACCTCAGCACGTGCTCGAAGACCTGCAATCAGCCCTCAACAAAGTGAGACAGCTGAAATCCCGTGGAGTCACTAGATTCTACGACTTGAGACGGGTGAACCGCCAACAGCTGGATGATGTCGAGGAAGATGAACAACACACTGACCCTGATGGTCCTCTGCTGGAAGAAGATGATGATGAGCCTCCCAGGCATCGCTTTCGCTTGGAGCCACCCGTGCCGACTGCAGAAGCACCACCACAGATCATCGTGCCCGATGCTGAATATGAGCCTACCTCACCTGCTCATTCCAGCTTTGCACCGACGTCTCCCAGAGCACCACCAACACCAGTGATGGCAGAACCAAACATGTTGCTGCCCATGGCCCCAGCCGAGATCACTGTACCAGGTTCACCAGCCACCACTAGGTCCCGCTCACGGGCTCCTACTGTGGTCGAACCCAGCGAAGAGCCAACCATACCATCTGCAGCACCCACACCACATGCTGCATCACCACCGGCTATTGCAACAGCACCTCAAGCATCAATGTCAGGGCCTTCACTGGACCCTGACACTGCAGCATTGTATGAACCAGTCGATGCTGAAACCTTTCAACAACGACGAGTTCGCTTCAACAGACAGGAGACACTTAGTTTTGGCCCCCCTGCGAAGACAGCGCATTGGGTCACCACAGCCATACAACACGACGTCACAAACAACAACACCAGAAGCAGAACACAACAGTGCAGAGCACAACACACAAGCAACAGCGGCAGCCGCAGAAGCGCCAGCCCAAGTATCGGCAGCTCCAGCTGCTTCGGATGATCCTGCTCTCTATGCAAGTCAGAAGGCACCTGATCACGCCTTGCTGAATCATGCCTTCCAAGTCTCCGGCATTGAAGCCAACTGCCTGCCAAAAGGTTGGACCTATGAGAATGGCTACTTCCAGCTCGACAAGAGAGACCGCGACTTCTGGGAAGTCAAAGCCGGATGTTTGATCAGACACCATGTGATCCCTCGACGATCCAAGATGTGCCTGCACCAATTGCCAAAAGACAGCCCCTTCACCTCAGATCAGCTTGATCTGGTTCGGGTGACCATTATGTATGACAACAACGGCAAAAGCATCCAACAGACCGACGATGGCTACACGGCTTCCACTCCCTTGGATCGCTCATGGACTGGAGTCACGATCTTCCAGATCAAAGGCGACCTTCGTCGAGAGATGGCCATGTTCGCTAAGGCCCCACTTCAAGGAGCACGACAGCTTGGCAAGGAGACCAAACTCCGGCACGCCAAAAGCTTCAAGAAAGACAAGAACAAGAACAACCTCTCGGAGCGCCACATGACTCCTGATGAGCGAGCAGCCTTCAAAGCTGCAAAGGTCAAAGAGTTGCAATCCTTCTTTGACAACCACGTCTGGCAGTTCGAGACCACCAGAGAAGCTGAGCCCAGTCGGACGCTGACCAGTCGCATGCTGCTGAAGTGGTCAAAGAATCCTGATGGCAGCCCTCGTGCCAAAGCCAGGCTCATTGTCAGAGGCTTCATGGACCCAGACGCTTGGGAAGGAACTGTTCCAACCTCATCGCCCACAACCACGAGGCTGTCGAGATCCATGTTGTTGAGTTTGGCCTCCACCATGCAGTGGCCAATCTGGACTTCAGACATAGCAACCGCCTTCCTGCAGGGTCGACCTCAGACACGCAAGTTGTGGGTGCAGCTTCCTCAAGAGTGTTTGCAGTTGCTTGGAGCCACAGCTGACACCCGTATGTTGCTTCTCAAGCCCTGCTACGGCCAGATCGATGCCCCGAGATCTTGGTTCATGGCTGCAGTTGATAAGCTGAGCGCTATGGGCCTCCGACAGCATCCTCAAGACCCTTGCTGCTTCTTGATCTATGAAGGTGACCTCAACCCTGAGTATGACACCACAGCTGAGCACTCCAACCTGCTTGGACCTCATGGCCTATGTGGTATGGTCATCATGCACGTCGATGACATGCTTGGTTGCGGTTCGCCATCCTCCCAGTGCTACAACGACACCATCACCAAGCTGAAGAGCACCTTCAACTTCCGTGAATGGAAAACTGGTGATGATGGAAAGCCCTTGACCTATTGTGGTTGTGACATTCAGGTCAAGGATGATGGTCTCCTCCTCAACCAGACCAGCTACATGGGAAAGGTGAAACCGATCACCTACGACAAGAAGCGCAGCCTCACCGATGCGCTCAATCAGCGTGAGTTGACACAGCTGAGAGGACTTCTTGGTTCACTTCAATGGCCCGCAGTTCAAAGCAGTCCTCACTTGCAGAGCAGCACCTCGATCCTGAGCGGTCATGTCACCAAGCCCACGCTTCAGACAGTGGCCGACACAAATCGCCTGCTGCGTTTTGCAAAAGAAAATGCTGATGTTGGCCTACAGTACAGCCACCTGGGCGAAGTTTCAGAACTTTGTTTGGTATGTTTTTTTGATGCTGCCTTTGCCACCCGCAGTGACGGAGCCTCACAAGCTGGCTATGTGATCCTGATGGTCAACAAAGCTTTGCTTCAGGCCAATGGTCCCGAAGGAGCCTACCACGTGTTGGATTGGCGCAGTTTGAAAACGCCAAGAGTTGCACGCTCTTCCTTGGGCGCCGAAGCACAAAGCGGTGGTCAAGCTTGCGATGCCTTGGAGCACGCCAGCATCTACTGGAGCTTGTTGGTTGACCCTCGCCAGCGACTCCAAGAGCTCTTGGACGCTCCATCCTTGTTGTCGCCCACCATGATCACGGACGCCAAAGCCCTTTACGACTCCTATCACCGAGAAGGAGTCGGAAGCTCTGTGGTTGACAAGCGAGTTTCGCTTGAGATCCGTGTGATGAAGGATCGCCTGTCTTCACTGGGCGGTTCTTTGAGGTGGATGTCATCGGAGCGCCAACTGGCTGACGGTTTGACAAAAGAGTCGGCCAGAGCACTTCTTGCACAACGGCTACGTCACGGTCGTTTGAAGCTTGTCTGGGACCCCTCATACAAAGCTGCCAAGAAGAAGACAAAAGCTGAGCTCCAACAGAGTCTTGCTGAAAGCATCCATGTGGTACCACCACATGTGATCAATGAGGAACCCGAAAGCATCCATGTGGTACCACCACATGTGATCAATGAGGAACCCAACCTCCACGAGGAGCACCAGCAGCCCATCGACGAGAATCCTGCGGAGAATGACGTGAATGTCGATGAGCAGGTGTTTTGGAATGAAGAGATTTTTCGGAATTCCAAGGTTCCTGTGAATGTCATGTTTGCCAGGACCGACCGGAAGCTTGAGTATGTCTCCGACAGTCCGAGCCATGTCGGAAGCCGCCCGCTCGAGTCCTACCGCGGTCGTAAGACGAATTTCATGTTTTGGTTTTTGCTTTTGTTCATGGCCCCGCAGCTGGTCACGGCCGATTCGGACAATGTGGAACCTGAAGCTGGAATGGATTGGTTTGGAACTGTTTTGTGCACCCTCCTTCTACTTTTTTTGAGCACAGCCTTCATGGTTGGTCGATGGAGCCATGATGCACACCACCGAGTACCACCCCAGGTCACTGAGGCTGCAGTCCAAAAGGATGAAGCGATCATCCCAGCTCGCCTTAGAGAAGAAGTCAAACGCCTGAAGCAGGAAGTCCTGCGCTGGAGTTCCAAAGCCGAGGAGTCCCGCCTTGCTGCTGTCGAAGCCACGACAGCGATGAATCTGGTTCTGAGAAACCAGAATGCTGCTGAGACCCTTGCACAGGAAGCCTCCCAGATCCTGAAGATCGCCCTGAGGCAGATGGATGAGCATGGAAATGAATGCCCCTTCTACAATGGCATGTTCATCAGCCGGCATGGCGCCAGATGGCACACGACCTTGAACTGTTCAAGCCTGGCCGGAAGAGATGAAAGCCTGCAGCGGCGAGTAGATTTCTGCCGCCTTTGTAGTTTGAGGGTGATTCCACCTGACCTTGTCGATGATCGGTCAGGCTCATCTGTGCGGACCTTGGTCTACCAATGGCTGGACCGGTTCGAACAGCGGAACTGGGGTGACGACGAAGGACTCTCCCCCATGTAAAGTTCACGCTGTGCACTTGTGTTTCGGCAGTTCGAACTGTTTTTGACCTTCACTTACCGTCGTTCCCTCTCAAGACTGGGAGGGCAGTTGCCTTGCAAAAGGCGCGGCCGCGGCGCTTCAGTGCGCCCTCTTGTTTTCGTGTTTGCGGACTTCGGGTGCCGCTGCTACCTTTTTCGCATACTGTATATATATATATAATATGTAGTGGGTGTTGCATGTTGGGGCAGCCAAATCGCAGGAACTGATGCCATGCGAAAAGAGCTTTTCTTAATTTGTTGCGCTACAAATTAGATGCAGATTAGCAGATTCCTTTGACAATGCACCCAGGTGAGTACCCTAAGCACTATCCGTGGAGGCCCTGTGAGACTGAAGCCAAATGTGTCACGGGATGCAATACGGGCACTAGATGCCAACGGTGTTACTGCTGCGCGATGTTCACTGCAAGTACAAGATGCATGGCATGGCGAGCAGGAAGCATCTATGCAGTTCCAAACGCCGCTCAGAGCTGTTCAAGAGTTGCAGAGATAGGGCGCAGCAGTTTGGAAATTCTGGACAGGTCGTTGAAGCTGCACGACTTCCCACCGGGATTCATGTTGGGCGTTGGCACTGCTGCATATCAGATTGAAGGAGCTTACAATGAAGGAGCCTTGGAACAGTCTGTTTGGAAAGCGTTTGTCAAGAATCAAACCAGAGTTCCAGAGATGTGGCTTGCATTTCGGTATCCGATTCATTGTGAAGCCTGAAGAAACCTCCTCCGTGCCAGTTCTGTTGGGCCAGCTTTTTGCACAGAAAAATGCCAAGCCTTGTGTTCAGCCACACCGGTCATTGATGACAGGCGGCCGCGGTGCATCTATTTGGGACACCTACACCGGCGCAAATACGGTGGGCATGCCTGGGTCGGCCCCCTGTTTGCACGGGAGGACGATCATGAGCTGGAGGTTGCACAAGTATGCACACGCCAAGGCCGGTGATGATATCACATGTTCCCCCCCCAATGGCCAGAGGAACAAGATGCCGCTTGTTAGTGGATGCAATTTGATACAAGCCTGCATCCATGCAATTTTTATCAAAATAGTGGGCGCCTTTTCAGGGGGGGGCTACGAATCCCACACAAAGGCCGACTTGCAATTTATGCTCCCGTTGGCAAACCCAACATTTGCTGTATCAAATTGAAGTCCTGTGTCACTGCCAATCTAACTTCCTGCAATCACCAGCATCATCAAACAAAGAGCTGTGGACCAAAAGTGTGCTTCAATACCGGACAACACTATATATAAGACTAACAATTCTATAACGTTCTTGGAGTTTTCCATAATGTGCACCAATTGCAAATCATTTGTTCAAGAAGTCTGCACCCTTTCTACTCGTACTGCAAATCTGCAACTGAAAGCCTGTCACTCCTTAGGCGTGTAGACGACTCACCAACAGCACCCACCCCCCAAGCTCAAAAGTCTAGATCATAGTAGGTGCGAGGCCGCAAAAGCAGGTATCACAGCTTTGTTGCAGGCTTAAATTGGTGTTAGCTTGACTTGACTAGAATGCTGCTTTAGTACTTCAGGAGGAAGAAAGTTTGGTAACAGCTTCACTCGAGAATGTCATGGACATCACTGCTCTTTTCCAAATATGGAATTCCGATGAAACCCGGGGGAGTAGTTTTCACCCAAACTACATTTTAATACTATAAATTTAACTCGGGGTGGAAATGAATCCGCCGGCATTCCACTGTGATCCCCTGTAGGATTCTAAGATATTCTAAGGGGAAAGGGTTGTAGGTTATGTACTCACAAGCTTGTTGCCAACTTTTGTCCTGGCTGTGTCTGTGTATGCTTTAGTTTCCTTATGTGTCCTTTTTAAGCATGCCGTCATTCAAGAGGCATCACGTAACAAAGGCATTTGAAAGATATTTGATACTTAGGAGATCATAAGATATATATATATATTCAACAAGTCAATCCCGCACAGGACGTTAGATCAAAACATGGTGTTGGTGTTTAGAGAATGTAGCGTGGCCGCGAGTCAAGTGCAGAGGTTGGAAAAAGGGGAGGCTCAAAGGCCGGCAGTATAGCACAAAGGTATTGGCTGGGGCTGGGCGGCGGTGGGAGAAAACGGGATAGATTTGAACATACATCGAAACTCTAGTATGAATTCCTACGCCATGGACTGTCGACATGACGTTTTGATTCTTGGTTGTTGGTAGCTATATTAAAAATATATATATTATAATATACTCTATTTGGTTGTAAGTTGTTGCTGCCCATAGACAAGGTCTGAGGTATGCCAGGAAAGAAGAATAATCCACCGTAAACTGCTGCGCTTCTATATGAGGTGTGCAAAGAGGCTCCGTGCCCACTGAACAGCGTTATGTCAGACAAAGGTCCCAAGCTCAGTTATGCAAAGGCTGTGATGGGCTTTCTGTTGTTTTCTGGGTCTGTAGGACCGTAGGCAGCTAATTTGAGTTTTGACGGTCTCTAGAAGGGAGGGAGCCTTGTATTTGTTGCATATTGCACGCCTTTTGTGCAGGGGCCACGGGCAATGTGGCCAACAACCATTACCACAAGTACAAGGAAGATGTGGCCATGATGAAGGACGTCAGTCTGTGTTGGAAAGAATACGTTATTTTTCAGCGCTCGTGTGGGTGTTGTGCTGTGCCCTTCGCTTTTTTGCCTTTTTGAACCCTCTTCCAAACACTTTAATTTGGCTTGGCCACCCTGTTCAACAGGACCTTGGCTTGAAATACTACCGGTTTTCGGTGGCCTGGCCTCGCATTGTCCCCACGGGACACATGAAGGATGGTGTCAACAAGGCCGGGAGTTGCATATTCTTATTGTTCCACCTTCTTTCTATGGAATGTGGAACTGGAACGTTGTAGGAGTCGTGGCCTTCCAAGTGGCCTCAGAGAGGGTAGAGATGCACTGATCGCAGCCATGCACACGCTTGGTATGCACGAGTGAGCAGCCTCAGAAAAACCATATCCTTAATTACTGTCAATCTTGAGGTAGTTGAATCTCTTCAACTGACCATCACTAGAGTAAGCAAACAGCCAACCACTGGACCACGAGACACAATACATACATGCCAATGAATCAGCACCCCATGGGTTTCAGAACCACATTCCGACACGTGACTGCAGGACATTGGACCAGACTTGAGAGAAACGTGATTGTTACGGTCGAAACGGGAAGCTTTAACTCTTTTCAGACATCCTCAAAGACATGAGTTGATTCCTCGGATCCTTGTCTTGCGCGGATGTGTTTGTGTCTGACAGAGAGAAACATGCAGGGTTTCACACTTCTCATGACTGTTCAGCAACACGAATCTGGGCATGTTTGTTGCAGGAAGGCATTCAATTCTATCACGACCTCATCGATGAGCTCATCAACAGTGGCATCACACCACTCATTACCATTTACCACTGGGACCTTCCCCAAGGTCTGCTGGACATTGGCTTCGAGAAAGCTCTTCCAGCCTGTGATCCTCAGTACCAACAGGGATGGTACGACTGCACCTGGGGCGAGGACGGAACACCGATCCCCACCGGCATGAAGTCCACTGTGGCGAAGGAGTTCTTGGCCTATGCAGAGCTACTCCTCCAGGAATACGGCGACAAAGTGAGACTTGTCTCGGTGTTTGGTCAACGTGAGTCAACATGAGTCAACGTGTGCGTGTTGGAGATCAAGTCATGAAGTCATGTCGGAGGACAGGGCCACACCTTGGCCAAGGTGGCAAACACGACATTCATGTTTGTGTTGATAGAACGTGTCTTCAACCGCATGTCGCACTGTTTCAACACACCAGATACCACACTATCCTTCAATTACCACAATCGGATTCTTTGTTAGTTGTGGTATGTAGTGCATGCAGCCAGGGTGCATAGCCATCAACAAAAACGTTTATAAGAAATGGGGATTGCCGTTTATGGAGAGGAACAGACAATGACCCCACCATATGCATAACCCACCAATTTGGCAAACCAAGAGCACCTGATCAACAGACCTGACAGACCTGGCACATTGAATCATTGATTGAAGGCATGGCTCCCACCCCAAAAGGCTTTCACTTCAGAAACGGCCCAGGAAGGCATGGGCCACCTTCAACGAGGCGTGGACCTTCACAGCCCTGGCGAGCGGATATGGCAAGGCGCCCTCACAGCAACCCTATATGGATGTGGACATTTGGCCGAAGGTCGCGGGCCACAATGTGCCTCGTCCAAGGACGCAGCTCGCGTCATGCAGCGTCCGGGCCCTGACGTGTGGGTGGCGCCTGTAAGCTTCACGGCGCCGTGTGGCGCGGTGCGAAGTGGTGAGGTACTTGGTGGGTCTGTGTGTGTTTTTTTCCCTTCCCGGCCCGGATTCAATAATAAGATCAATAAGCTTGGCGTCCTTGCTTGTTGTGCAGTCCACCCACCCCACACCTGGTTTTCGAGGTGGCAGAACTGCCAACACGAAGGGCAGATGAAAGAGAAATTCTCCTACTTGTAGGTCACAGACATGTCCTTCCTGCGCAGAGGTTTGGTCCACCACTTGAGGTGATCTTGGCACACTTGATGGTGGTCATGAAATTCCGAGAGATGCAGAAGAGCGGCGCTCTGACTCCGGAACACAAAGTCTTCATCACCAACAACCAGGACATGCCTTTACCAGATATTCTGAGACCGATCATTGCGCCATATGGCGCCCCATGGGCCCTGTAACCGGGGGTTTGGACGAACGTTCAGGGCCCAGCACCAAGGGAGGTGTGACAAGGCGAAGTCACTACACTACACATGGACGTGGACCCTTTTGTATGACACTTGTATGGCACACTCTGATGGAACATGATGGAACAGCTTTGGGGATTCTTTAGAAAGGTTTGTAGGGCACCTTTGCAGTACTTGGAAGACGATTTTCCTCTAGTAAGTGAGGGGCGTCCACCTCCGTGTTTGGTCCTGGTCCGGTTGGTCGCTGCGAGGACTGGCGTGAGCCCCTCACTGAAAAGAAGGAGGACATTGCCGCTGCGCATTACTTGATCGAGGGCGGACTTGGTTGGCGGCCTGGATGCACCATGCTCTGTCCAGCGATCCCCAAACGCAAGCAGCAAGCAACTCCAGGTTGTGAGAAAGATGGGACACGACGTACCTCGTCGGATGCAATAACTGTCCAAGTCGGACTCCCGAAGAACCCAAACCATGCACCGGACTCCCCGGACCATTCCTGGACCGCAACCGCAAGTTGGGCGGGACCGGTGTTTTTCGGCGCGAAAAGCGAACACCTCCCCAGACGCGGCACGACCCGGCCGCCAGGTTTTGCGATCCGATCTTTGGGGTGGATGGCGTGCATGATTATCCCAAGTCCATGAGAAAGACCCTGACGCTCGGTGTATGGCTCGCTCGCGCACGGGAGCGGACTGGAGCGGGAGCGGATGTGGACGGAGCTCGCAGCCGCGCCCAGTGCTGAGCCTGTAACTTTGCATCTCTCAGGAAATACCTGCCCAAGTTCAGCGAGGAGGAGATGAAGTTGTTGAAGGAGAACAAGCCTGATGCCTTTGGATTGAATCACTATGGCACCAGCTTCGTGGCCTACGACAACGGCAACACGGATCAGAAGTCATACTCGTAAGTTGGGCTGTTCATGGATTTTCCATGACTTTCCAGAATTGACAGACAGTGCAATGGCCTTTTGCTTTCTCAGTGCTACCAAGCCACACATGATTGACCAGCAGACGTTTTAAACTTGACTTAGTTAAGTCCACGTTCCATACTCCATGTCCAGACGTGTCCGGACCTTTCCTTAGGCAAGTACACCACCACACACGCCGGCCTGGTTCAGGGAAAATCCAGCTGGCTCTTCCGGGCGGCATGGGGTTATCGAAAGCTCTTGAACTGGGTGAAGCCACTCGACAGCACTGGGTGAAGCCACTGGCTGGATTCGACTCCTCAAGAGGCACACACACACATATATAGATATATATATATATTTTTTGCGTATAAATATAGATATATATAGTGTGGTCCCGTTACAGCCGTTACATAGATAGTGGCACGTTTTCCGATACAATTTTGAGTGGGGATATACTTTTCTATCTACTTGGGACCACTATACTGAAAGCCAAGATGGCAGCCACAGCCATCCTCTCACGACCCGCATCTCGCGTCCGTCCGAAAAAGCCAGGAATCGCTATGGCGAGTACCCGATTTGGGGCACCGAAGCCGGATGGAGCGACGGCTTGGAAGACCCCTTGGCCGGAAAGCAGGACAGCGGGCGTTTGACGCCCCCTGGAGATGAGACAGGTGAGAGGGAGACTGGACAGGGAGACTGGATGTCAAAGGGTGAGAGCTGTTCAACACTTGCCCAATTGATCCCGATCGAAGATCATTTGACACGATCGTGATGTAATCGGATATGATATAATCGGACTTGGCGAAAGGCAAGTGCCGCCGGAAAGCAGAGCAGCATAGAGCAGCCATCCATCCCTTCATCGTAGTCTATCTATCCAGCTGTTTGCCTTTTGCACGGGGTTTAGGAGCTACCGCGACAAACAGCAACCATGTTTGATGGTCTTTTAGTTTCGTTAAACTTTGTGTGCAACCATTGAAGTACTGAGAGCCAAGGTATTATCAGACCTACCTGCTCGAATCTCTCAATGCAATTAAGGAGGACGGGGTGAAGATTCTTGGCTTGCAGCTCACAGACCTGACATCAAATGCACGTAGCATGCAGCCTCAGATGCATCCCTGAATTGATGCCTGAGCGCCCAGGATGGAGTCATTTATGGCTTGGTCCCTCATGGAGACTTGGCGTCACACTGGCCTGAAAAACGGTAGCACAGGGTCACCACAGACATCCCCGCAGACCGTTTCACACCGGTCGATGTGTCTGCCACGCATCAGGACAACTTTGAATGGGAGATGGGATATGCTGAGCGCTTCGGGTGCATGTGGAACGAGTTCCTTTGGGACAAAGACCCCAATGCACCCAGTGCGGACACGCCCATCTACAATGCATATTCAGGCAGCCTGCGATGTCGAAGATGACCTGTCAGATTTTGCAGGGGAACCGGTATTTCTCTGGGATTCTTTGTTGTGTTTGTTTTTTGTTTTCTTTTTGTTTTGTGTATTTGTTTGCTTCTGCTTTTGCTTTTGCTGTTTGCTTCTGCTTTTGCTTTTTGCTTTTGTTTTTTTTGCTTCTGCTTTTGCTTCTGCTTCTGCTTTTGCTTTTGCTGTTTGCTTCTGCTTTTGCCAATTGCTTTTGCTTCTGCTTTTTCTTTTTGCATCTGATTTTTGCTTGTGCTTTTGCTGTTTGCTTCTGCTTTTGCTTTTTGCTTTTTGCTTCTGCTTGTTGCTTTTGCTTCTTCTTTTGCTTTCTGCTTTTGCTGTTGCTTTTGCTGTTTGCTTCTGCTTTTGCTTTTGTTTTTTTTGCTTTTTGCTTTTGCTTCTGCTTTTTTGCTTTTGCTTTTGCTGTTTGCTTCTGCTTTTGCTTTTGCGTTTTGCTTTTGCTTTTTTGCTGTTGCGTCTGCTTCGGCTTTTTGCTTCTGCTTTTGCTTTTTGCTATTGCTTTTGGTTTTTGCCCGCCTTTGCATGGCCGTGGCTGCGCCCTCCCCCCGCACACCCACTTTTTAATAGTTCCCACTACCCCTACTACCACCAGTGCCTCTATCACCCCGACCACCCCACTGCGAGTCTTACCACAGGTACCACAACTACTACAGTATCTTCTTTGCATTGACACTGCCACACAGTTGGATGATAAGACCTTCACCTCAGCCCAACGCTATCTATACTTGATTTGCATTGCGGGGGAGGCGCTACGCCCTCCCCCGCACCTCCTCCCACTTTTTCAATAGTTCCCACTGCCGTCCGCTACCCCTACCAGTACTGGTGCCTCTATCACTCCGACCGCCACAAAGGTGGATGATAAGGCCCGCCTTTTCTTAGCCGTGGCTGCCCTCCCCCGCACACCCTCCCACTTTTTAAATAGTTCCCACTACCCCTGCTATCACCAGTGCCTCTATCACCCAAAGAAGTCCGTATTATAATAGTTCCTCTCTCCTCTTTCCTCACTCCTACTTCTCCTTCGTTAAGTGGGATGCCTTTTCTGCTCCCTCCCTTTGTCACTGTCTCGCTCTCTCCCTCCCGCTTCCCGCTGGCTCTGCTGCTTCGTCCCCTGACCTGTCTGCTGCTCCTGACTCCTGATGCTTGTAAAGCACTCCCAGAAAACACGCGAAAAAAATTCCCAGAAAAGAATAAAAACGAAAAAAAGATCCGGAAAACAATCAATCCTCTTTTGCAGGTTGTGAGCCAAAAACTTGACCTCAAAGCTCACCCATCCGCTGGCTAGAGCCTAGTCTAGAGCCTATCGTTGAGCATTTGTTACATGCATTGAGTTGTTCAACGGAATGGGACCCCCTTCTCCCGTTCCTCACAGGCAAGGTTGAGGGCAAGTGTGGCGATGACTGCGCGCGGCAAAGAGTGGCACCTGGCCCACAAAGGCCAAAAGATCAGACACGCCACATGAGGACAGAGAACTTTTTTAAGTGGAGCTGTTGACTCACCAACAAATGGAAGAAGACACACTTGATCATGTTCTCCCGAACGGTGTGCACATTCTCCTTATTGAAATCTTTTGAGCGTGGCACCTGTTCTCACTCTCTCCTCCCACCGGTCGACGGGCCCCCGGCTAGGAACTCCATGCTCCGCCTCATCGAGACCTGGGGCAGTCCCACGATGATCACTGGGCCGATGCAAGATGACTTCTTCCAGGCGGCGACCGATCAGCAGCTGGGCCGAGAGGAGGGTGGCGGAGGGGGGTGGTTCAAGGGATGTATAAGAAGCAGTCTAAGACGTGTCATATGTGTCCATCCATCTCCGATTTCTCTTGTAAGATGGTTCTTTTTTCATGTTCCAGTGGGCTGCAGGACGCGCAGGACGCGGATTCACGGCGTTGACCCCCATGTTGACTCCTTTCAAGCTCCAATCTTCACTCGACGTCGACATGTTTCCACCGATGGACCAGCCGTCCGCAGCTCGCGCTTCCTGTCCCGCTTGCGGCATCGCATCTCGGCTCCGCCGTGGTAAGGAACATTTGCTTCGGCCATGGGACCTATGAGACTTCAGATGGCATAGAGGAATGCTCTCCCGACTCTTAGTTTTGGGAGTCAGATGCTGCTGGTTATTTTGGAAGTTGCGGAAGCAATTACGTGGTTTATGTGGTTTGGTGGCTGAAGGTGGTGAAGGTGCTTTGGAGGATCACGGGCTGAAGGTGGTTGGTTTGATTATGTTGATTTTGGATGATCTTATTGGTGAATTTGGTGAAGTTGCTTGAAACTTGGACTCATGGATGCTCAGTCTACTTGATGGTGTGTCGTAAAGATTCGTAAAGTATTCCCGTACTGCATCACTGCTATTGATCGCAGCGGGGGCCGCGATCCCAAGTCGATTGCCTCAGTCGCTTTGTCTCTCGCAGAGTCGATCAAACTCAGGAAGCGCTCTCTACCAAGCGAGTTGTGCCTGCGTGATGCAATACTTAGTTTTTTCAGTTTCAACACGCAAGCCGGCTAATTGGCCATCAGCTTGCACAGACACACACCCTTCTTAGAAGAACCACAGCTTCTTGCCTTACGGCGACTGTGGTGGACTGTGGAGAAAAAACAACGAGCTGAAGCACTGGGCCAGATGGTCGTCACATGGGTGTGAAATTTAAACGGGAGACCTCCCAACAAAGCCCCTGGAGGAAGAGAAATAGCCAGTCTACCTATTGGGCCAGGGGTCTCCCTATTGGAATGTACATCCGCATGCAAGATGTATCCGTTTTGTCATGTTTTGTCTCAGGGTTGTAGTTCTTGCTGACTCTTGAGCATTGGCTGTTTGGGCTCTGCTTCAGGGGTTAAGCTGTGAAGCATACATGAGGGTGAATGGAGGCAAAGAAGGACGAAGACACATTCGTCAATGCGCTCAAGGATATATCCAACACTGAACTGCAGATATGGCAACACTGCGCTCTCCAGACTTTCCGACGCCTTTGAGGGAGTCTCCGACCCCTGTCATGGGGAAGTTGAAACTGACATGGCGAACGCCACTAAGACTAGGCTACTGCCCGCATCTCCCCACAACCCTATTCCACATCTCCCCCCCAAAAGAACGTAAGAGGATGCCAGGCATCACATAGAACCTGAAAATGGAACCATGATGAACCATGGCATTTGCATGAAAGCTGTCCTCGGGTTTTGGCAGACCGAACCTTTTGGCATCTCGTCTTCCCTGTTTGCCGTGTTGTTTTTTCTGGGATCCACTCCGCCACTCTCGAGCCGCGCACATGTGGCCGGTTAGCAGCTATGGCGGGCGATGTGGCTTGGCCTATTCAGAGCTACGGCCGGCATGCTACTACGGCCGCTACGGCCCACCCTATGCAGAGTTTGAGATGAGTGCAGCCCAATAATAATAGAAGACAAAATGAGATGAATGCAAGACACCAAATAGAAGGCTCAAATAATAATAGTGCAGCCCCAAATAAAAACACATATATAATAGCCCACCCAATAACAGAATCTAGAAGAACTTCCGGATCCGTCAATGTCCCCTTAGTTGAGACTATTTGTTGCTGATATTTGACGGGGTGGGCTACTGTTCCTTGCCACTGGTTTGATTGGAGGGAAATGCGGGTCATACTTAGAACAGTTTCAAGATCAATGATAGACATTGGAGCTGCAAAAAAAATCGCAGATGGAAGCGAGCTGGTGAGAATTCCGACGTCGAATGCCAGCTTGTTAGGAACAACCGCAGCCCAATGAACAGGATGACAAAAAGAAGGAAAAGAAGAAACACAAAGTTGCTGGGCGTGATTCAGTGAGGGAAAGATACGTGGGCTGACCCGCAGGGATGTTGTTGTCAGGATTGACTGCCAGAGATGCGTCTATTTTGCATAGGTTAAGTCGTTGAAACAAACCGAGACAGGCGCTTGCCAGCCTGCAATGCCATATTTTGTTGGTTAGCGGAAAGTGGTCAGTTTGCGCAAGCTAGCTGGACTGGAGTGTGCCCAGGGAAAGGATAAAGAAAAGGATGGGAAGAAGGAAAAGAAGAGAAAACACACTGAATCTGATAGGGACGACGGACCAAAACGTCCCAAAGACGATGCTGAGATGCTTGGAAAGCACTTGGCAGCTGGGAACATACATAGTTTCTTGCGGGATCCGAAGGTGGGGAAGTCGTAGCTTTTCCAGAAATGCAAACTAATTCTAGATTTGTTTTCTTTGATGCATTTTCAGCTTAAGTCAGTCACCATGAATGGCCGCTAAACGCTGCCATTGTGTTTTCATGCTGGACGTCACATTCTTAAATGATACCTGCAATCCTTGAAGTCATGTCTTAACACTGTGTTGCCATCGGAGAGGGAGTGGGAGAGGTTTCTTTTGACAAAGTCAGCGTTGAACAACTGCAAAGCGTGCTCCACTTTCATTAATCACTGTAATGGCCACAGCTACACACTTGCAAGCCCATGAATCCTCGCCAGATCCGCTTCCGCCACCTAGGAATGTCGAAATTGTTGATGTGAAAGCGAAGGAGAGGGTTGTGCCAATCGGTTTCTTATGTCTTTAAAGAGATTTGGCTTTGCCTGTGATAATGCGTCCGCATCTCGTCTCAGATGCCTGCATTCATGGCCTTCAAGCCTGTGCAGGTTCGGCTGTGTAGATTCCACATTGGACATGTTTTCAACATGTCCATGTCTCGCTGCGTGAGCGGTGCACACACGCGAACATCATCGAACATCCATCCCTTTGCTGATTGCAGAGTGGCATGCCTTCTACGTCGGTGGCATCAATGATATCTCTCCGGATCCTGTGGGCAGGTTTTGAGAAAGGCTGGTGCGGATGCAAAGGCACTCGCAAAGGTAAAAGAAGAGAAGGCCCTTGCGTTTCCAGAGGCAAAGGGAAGGGAAGGGAAGGGAAGGGAGGCTGCAGATCGGCCCAGTCGTAGTCAAGCACAACTCTTGTTTCTTCCGTGTTGCGCAGCTTCAGGCAGCTCTGGAGAAGGCTCCGGAGAAGGCTGAAAAGGCTCCAGAGAAGGCTGAAAAGGCTCCGGAGACGGTGCCGATGGCGGAGCCCAGCAAGGAGGCCCCAAAAGAGAAGACAAAGCAAAAGGAGAAAGCGAAGGCAAGGTGAGCCCCATCTAAACCAGCCAATGTGTACAGGTGCTGTCTTGAGCGGTGTGCATATCATGTACGCAGTCAAAAAGCACATGTTCACCGCTTTGCGTTAAAGGTTGGGTTGACTCATGAAAGTCAGTTGTGGAGGCTTTTGTGACCTTCACACTCGAAATTGGAAACCCTGCAAGGAGAAAGGGAAAGAAAAGGACAAGGACACAGAGAGAGAGAGAGAGAGACAGAGAAAGAAGATCAGGGAAGGAATGAAGGCAACAATTAATAAGAAAGTAAGAAGGCCTAGAGTGGTTTCCATTCACCTGCGGTGGGTTGCGGGCCAATGCTCAGGAGAAGAAAGAGAAAAAAACAGAAAGATGCAGCGGAGCCCAAGGAGTCGCATGGATTCCCTAGATTGTTGATGGGCCCTTGAGCAATTGTTACTAGCAGTAAGAATGCTCCTAGTAGCGATGCCAGGAGCCCCTAGTAGCTGGGCCCTTGAGCAGGCTCAGGTCTAGCTGATATTTTTTCAGAATGTGAAAGGCGATGTGGCCCCAAGTGGCTTACAAACGGCTCGGTTGCTCCCAATTGGGGCTTGTGATCCTGGAATCCCGGCAACAAGCACAGGATCCCGGAAAAGCCTCCAAAGAGCCTCTGAAGAGTGGGGAGGCGAGCCCAACAGGCTGGACAGACGTGCTTTCCAAGACGTTCGTTGACGTTAGCCATGGCCTAAGTCATCCTAAGTCACATCCACATTCTTCCGTGAGTTTGGTGCCTGTTGCATCCTGCCGTTGCCATGATTGTACTTCACAATTGTACAATTGCATTCAATTCTACATATTTTAACTTCAATCTGCACATCATACAGGTGCCTTACTAGTAGTAACAAGTGCCACACTACTAGGAGCAAGTGCCTTACTAGTAGAACAAGAAGCTATTAGAATTAATATATGCTTCCAAATCGGATGGACATCTCAAGACACCGGAAGTTCTTTGTATCCCTCAGAACAAAGCTTTCCGTGAGTGTGGCGGAATGCTGACCTGTTGCGGAGGTGGCCCCGGCGCCCGGAAGAAGTTGGACATTGGGGACGTGGATGAGTTCCGGAAGCAGCTGGCACAGCAGCGGGACCAGCTGAGACTTTGGATCATCAAGGCGAAGCAGGAATGGGAGGAAAAGCAATCAGGAGCTGGTCATCGAGGTGAAACCAATGATCAGGAGCAGAGACCCCAGAGGAGCTCTTTGTGTCGTTTGTTTTTGGGTTTGTCCATTTGTCCTTGTGTCTCTGAGATCTTGACTCAGAGGTGGACATGGGTTCACCACTTCCATGGACATGGGCATCCAAGGTACTACATTGCCTCCATTGGAGAAACACTTGGTCCCAACCGCGAATACCTGGCCGAAGCCAGCATAGGAGCCATTGTTGCACCCAGCCTCCTCACCTGCTCCACCTGTTCCACCTGCTCCGAACGAAGCATCTGTTCCTCGAGCTGAGGCCGAGGGGTCTTCTCCAGCGTCTTTCGGTGCAAGCACGTGACCCAAAAGACAGACTATGCTCTGAAGTTCGTGCGAGCCAACAAGATGATGCGAAAGGCGGCAGAGAAGGAGGCCCAGGAAGAAAGAAGACACTGCATTAATATACCAAGCTGAACTCATTGGAGAAAGGCATCGCAAGAGATGGAGACCTCTTTTTTGAAGGGCTGACAATTGATAGGACAAGCGAGATTTAGAAACAGCCACGGCTGCCCAACTCTGCCATTCGAACACATAGAGGCATCAAATCGTTTTGGTTTTGTTCCCTCGTTTTCCTTAGTTTCGTCTTGGCCCGCTGAAATAGGGATTATGATTTGGTGGCATATGGTAGCACTAATGACATGAATTCAGTCATCAGGACGGTGTTTTTGCTGGTCGCACTACCATGCCGATTAAATCGTTGCTGCCGTGCCGTGCTACTGGTAGGTTTAACCCTGATGACTCCATTGGTGATGTGGATCATGTGGAATTGTTGGGAGACTGGACGCAAGACAAACTACACTCCGACTCGCAAGATGGAAGTAGAGCCCAGCGGGCTTCTAGGGGAAAGTCGTCTTCCAAGGGACCACTCTATCTACTTCCATGTGATGCTGTAGCTAGTACATTGTCGTATAGTATAGAGATGCTACGGAGCTGGGTTCTGGAGATGTGGAATGCAAATTGGCCCTCATTTGGCTTGATGTCATTGAGACTTCCACACAGTACCAGGCAACCTCGGCTCAACGGTGCAGGTGGAAACCTATCGGAAGCTTGCAAAGTTGGCGGCCAAGGAAGATCAGGAGGGAGCACAATACATCATGTTGCCACTCGGCTCATAAGTTCGATGGCCTTTTTGTGAGGGTTGGATGTGATTTGCAAGCATCACCTTTCAAGGTTCATGAGGGCGGGCAGGTGAATCTTCTGGATATGGGATGTGGTTGTTGATGGGATACGCTGTTGTCACATAATGTTCTGATGAGCCTGGACCACTGCGGAAGCCGACCCCAAATGCTGACTGACACCCGCATACACCCGCCCCAAAAGAATTACACCTCATCGAAGACGCCTTCTCCTTTGGCCATTGGTGCCGGGGTTCGCTTCTCCTCAGCGAGAGTCCATCAGGGCGTACTAATGACTTGAGCTGAACATATTTGAGCACCCTGGCATGCCTACTTGCTCATATTCTACCTGTAAGATCCTGTGACTCCTGTGTTGCTATAGTATAACTACCGTAGCATACCGTAGCTACTACCATTTACATCTATTTACACTTATGTAATCTTCTGTATATAGATGTTTCATGTTCTCGGCTTTCCTCTTCTTCAGAGTTGCCAGGGTCTGCTTACCAGAAAATGGTACGAGCTACAGATTCACTGCCACACAAAATCCGGCTCTCAAACGACCAGAGGGAAGTCGGACGGCAGGCATTGGTAATTAGACAAGGTCAATTGTGAGCAAACCAAGAGTGAGACGGGGAGAGAGAGAGAGAGAGATGTTAATATGTATAAAGAGTGCATACAAACTGCGTAACATGTGCATATGTAGTGGGCGATCCCTCGCCTCAACCATTTCTCTTGGTTAACTGAGATTGAAAGTAATGTATAGTTAACTTGGAAACAACATTCCGAACGGCATACTGAACGACATCTAGACGACATAATTGGTCTATAAACACTTCATATACACTATATATATATTACATGTTTGTATCCATGATGGTTCTTATTTTTGTATTGTTGTTATTTTTCTAATGGGTCTAATGGGTGATGTGAACGACATCCGAAACGACACCCAAACGACATCAGTAATTACTTCTTCAAAGTGACCAGTTGGCCACACAGTGCTGAAAGTCATAGGTTTTCATCACGTAAAAAGCAGCATAGTACAGATTCTAGCACAGAATCAAGTTCAGACAGCTGACAAAGAGACCGCCGCTTGGAATTGCGATGATTTGTCCTTGGGATCAGGATTAAGGACATGTTTTTGCGTGACTCAAAGAAAGAGATGAGAGACAGAGAGAGAGGAGGGACAAAAGATAGGCGGGGAGTAGGCTCAGGAAGTGTCTTTTTGACTCGATCAAGGAACTATAACTACTGTACTCGTAGACAAGTAATTCTACAGTAGGCTCAAGCGGTGCAACAGAGTGATGATGCTTTGTCACTTTGTCCGTGTTTCGATTGTGGCGGGAACCCAAAGAAAACAATCGGTATGCCCAAAGAATGATCTGTTTGCGATAACCTTGCATACTCCAGCGCACTGGGAACAATGGACCTGAGAGATGGTAAAGCATTGTCAATAACTCAAGTGCTACTTGCATTGTTCAGATGCGTGCCCTTTCCATATCATTTAGAGACATTTGATCCTTTCAAGCGACACACTGACAGCTGCTCCCGAGGCTGTCCCCACCTGAGACTTTCGAACATCAGGGCCACCTGACGCTTCGCCGCATTTGATCGGCGATTGAAACGTCAGCGACGGCCGCGTGACGGAAGACACCGCAACGTCCATGGTGACTGCAGATGCTTCTTTGATTTACTATGCGCAGTTGATCTTTGTGTTTTTGATTGATCCAGTTCCTGGCTACTTAGAAGCCAGGAAAGGCAGTCACTATGGGCAAGCCCAGTTCAAGCTGCGCATGTGGATTGCGTGTGGCTATTTTGCTATTCGCTTGACAATTCTTAGTAAATCGCTAGTCGCTTTAGTCAGAAACGTGATCAGACACTTGTGCTCAGCATTGGGCACTGATTTAATGTTGCATACAGATGCAGAAATACCTACTGTACATATAATACATGAAACTATATATCATGTGTATGCGCATGTTTGGTAATTTTTTACGGTTGACTTTCGTGTGATCCTCGAGTTTGCAGCCTGACCGGACCCATTCCTGTCAGGTGGGCTCCATCAATGCAGGTTTTGGCAGTCTGCATTGACACAGGTCGTCATATGCCTCGGGGCTGAGGTGTTTGGTGTTTGACCTGCTGAAGTGCGATCTCCGAACTGCCCTGTCCAAGCACCTTGAATTGGACTCGTGAACCTGGTGTTTGTTGCCTTTTATGTGACAATGTGTGTGTGTGCGTGTCACCCTCCGTATCTAGGAGTTTGCCTTGCAGGGGAGTGGTGCGCAGTCTTGGAGTCACCACACAACGAAGACACTCCTTGCACCGTGGTGATATCTGGAAAGGAAACTTTTCCAGACGTACCTCCGCTCAACTTTTGACCAAGCTGTTCCACTCTCGGTTCGTTTGCATGGTGGTTGATCACGATACTTTCCCATCAAACAGGTTTCCTTCAGCCACTTTCAGCAGCCTCGTTCAGCCGCGTTCTGCGGCCAAGTGAACACTTTGTTAAACGCTTCAAGTGTGCTGACCGCTTCACCTTGCGTTTCCCTCATCCATTTCACTGTGGTTATGACTAACTGCAAACCCTGTGACTAAGTGTGTGTGTGTGTGTGTGTGTCTCAACCCCTGTTCCAAAGGGTGCTACCTGTCATTTCTCAACTTGATAAGCAGGGGGCATGG